CCTACTTTTGAAAGTGGAGCTGAAGGAACAAAATGTCATTCCTAAGTTATTCTACCATTTTTAACAGAATCATTTAGTGAAACAAACGATCTTCCAGAAAATTCAATACCCATGAGCACTTACTTGAATTTTCCATACACTTCCTAACACAATATATTGTGGGCTTAATATGTATTTAAATAAGAATTTCAACAGATTTTACATGATATTTATTAATTATCTCAAAATCATGGTTACCTAGAATAACTTCTTGATGAGTTTACAAATTCCCTTTCATACTTAAAGGAGAGACTAGATTAAATTGAAAAATATTTTTAAATAGCAATTAATCCTAATTTAGAAAACTTTGTAACACTAGCAATATAATTATTCAATAAATTATTTTATCAAAAAATTAAATATTTATTGGCTGAATTTCCAATTGACCTTATTATAGAGAATGGATAATTATTTTGGGTTAATCCAAAACGATGTCCTGAAGCAATAGAATTTGATGTTAATGATCTACTTCATCAATAGTTTATTTAAAATGTCATAAAAATTATATCTTAATATATTGGTAAACCATTATAAATTAATTTTGATGATATAGCGGTCTAACTTTAAACTGATTAATTAAGATAAATTGAATCATAAATGAAATCAAGTATTAAAGATTAAAAACAAGAAGATCATGAATCTAAATAGAGAAAAGATATTGAAATTTAAATTGAAAAATTAAAAAATTTAGCCTCTGAAAACCATAAAAAGATTTAATAAATTAAACCTTACATTTATCCAAAGGATAATCTAACCAATTTAGAATTAAATTTTCTTACTTGTGCAGCTAATTTATAAGCAAAAAACTACAAACTTCCAAAAATTTCCAGGTATACAGTTAAATAAATAGCAGAAAATGCTATTCCTTCATTGATAACTACAAAAGCTGTAATAAGTGGAATAGTATGTATCGAAATTTTCAAATATGTTCATTAAAAAGATATTAGTGTAATGAGAAACTCATTTATTAACCTTGCTTTACCTCTTTTTATTTTTTCTTGTCCTAATTCTCCTCATTAAAATGTAGATAAAGAGTATGATGTTATATTTTGTGAAGCTACAAAAGCTATTCCAGATAGTAATTTAGTTTTGTAAATTTAGAATGGACTGCTTGGGATGTTATAAAAATTGATCAGTAAATGACTATTGGTTAATTAATCGAATATTTTGAGAAGAATTATGGAGTAAAGGTTGATTTTATAGGTTTCAATTCTTATGTGTTGTATTCGAAATTTAAACCAGATCCAGAGTTATTGTAATTAATTTAACTAAGAATAGATTATAAAGAGATTGTGCTGAGCTGTACACTTAAATTTCTAAATAAAAGTTATCTGAAGAAGAGAATTTCGAAGTAGTTTTAGCTTGCAATGCCATTATTAATGGATAAGAAGTGGCTGTAGATTTGGCTCCTATAAGATATCATTATAAAGTTTGATAAGCTATAAATGAAATATAATAAATATAAAATACAAGTTATTAATATAGTTTAAAATATTAAACTATTAAATTTTACTATTTTCATTTTCAAACAAAGTCTAACATAAATTGAAAATACATAATATTTAAAATGTTGATATAAACACAAAAATATTTTTAAATTATGAAAAAAATCCTTTAACGATGGTATAAAATAATTTAATTAAATTAAAGTTTCAGGGATTGATTAATTTCATTTGTAACCAATTTGGTTTTAAATTTTAAATTATAATATCGTTTAGGTAATAATTCAAGTTTCTCAATTATTTTTAAAGTTAAACTAATATTTGATTAAAATATTAATATTCATCATTACATGCATAACAAATTCCTTAATATCAATTAGGACAAAAAATAGAGCATTCATAAATAAATTGAGGAATCAATCTCATATATTTATATTTGAAAGCATAAAATATTTTTTATAATTCTTGTAAATTATTAAAACATCTTTTTTTATCAATGTAATGATTTGGATATTAAATCATAGTGAATTATTCTATCAGAGTTATATTACCCCAAATTTACCTAGAAATAGTTAAAAAATTTTCTAATACTTTAGAGGAAAGACAACCATTTATAAAAGATAATTTTTTTTTTTTAATTCTATTATGTATTTATTAAATTTCATAGTTTTGCATGAAATTTTTTTTGGAAGCTAAAATAGGTGTTAAAACAGAAATATACTAAAAATCTATATAGTCCTCAAATTAAGTGTATATTGAAAAAGTTAAATCTAAGTTTAATATTAAATCATAGTTATTATTTAAACAAAAATTAAAAATGTTCTTTATGAATCAGAATCAAATTTATAACATAAAATAAGAATTTAATATGTTGTATTTTTTAATTTTAATAGAATTAAGTTAAGTTTGTGAATAATAAAATATTTTAAATATTAAAATTGAGAAAATAGTGGACTATCTGGGCAATTTTGATGATATTATTTTATATATTCTTATTACTTATTATTGATTTTATAGAATTCATTTTAATTTCTTGCCATTTATCATCTCAAGATATTTTAATAATTCTAAAAATAAAGTAATTATGTCGATATATAAAATGAGTGCCCCTAGAATGTAATCATCTTTTTTTAAAGAATGTCTCTTAGTAAAATGCAAATATAAAAATACCTTATTATTTCCAACAATCAATTAAGTATCAATAATGATGTATAATGAATAAAGGAATATTGCCAGGACTGAATAGATGATTTAAATTACACTACTTGGAAAGAGTAGAGTGAAAACAAGTAGTAAAAATAAGCATATAATAAAAGACCATAGAAGCCCAGTATAAACTGTGAAATCCTGTTTAGTAAAGCAGGCGTACAATGTTAAACCAAAGGTCATGAGCACTGTCATAGATAATGCCATAAAAATTAGATGGACTAATAATAAATAAAATCAAATACCTCCATTCTCATATTCCTTAGCAATTGAGCAGCAAATAGCTGAGACTACATATCCCTCACATATAGTGAATAGTGATAGTAAAATATAGTTATTTGGTGCTCTTCTTGCATTAGCTGGATAGCAAAATAAGGAGCACATTATTACAATTGCTGTTATAGCAGCTAATACTTAAAGCTAAATTTAAGTTGCTTCAAATTCCATCATAGCTGGTTAATTGAGGGAAAATACTGCAAATAAGGCTGTAAATAATAATTAGATGCTTATGATAGAATAAACCTATAATATATAAATTTAAAAAACTTTTTAGATGAATCCTAATCTGCTCGTTAAAGTTATGTCTATTAATAATTCCCTATTTGCTTACAAATCATCATTCTTTAAAAGAAGCTATTCTTCTTCATCTCCTAATTACATTGAAAATAAATTTAATATATAATAGCATATTCTATTAAAATGTGTGAAATACTCGAATATTTAAATTTACATATATCTACTCTAACCAATACAAGATATTATATATAATTACTTAAGGTATCCTAAATTTATTAAATAAAAAAATATTGTTAATACAGGGTCATACATCTTCTTCAAAAGAACATAATTGTTAATTATAAGACAAAAATTTTTATGTAAGTTTATAAGGTTTATTTGATTTTTGCTTCTAATATTTTGATATTTCTTATGTAGATATCCTTATGTTAATAATATCAGCTCCTGTTTTCATTTAAACAGATACTCCCATAATTTATAAGGCTAATCTCCTTAATAGAAGGGTCCTTCTTTTTGTTAATTCTCTTCCTTTATAAACGATAATAAAATTTATTAACCGAGTATTAATTAAATATATTTTTATCAGTTATATAATTCAGATTTGCCATATATTAATCCTACTTAGAAAATTAAGTCATAAAATTATTTTGGAGTATTTATCATTTAATTATTATTATTGAAATTATCAAATTAAAATAACAATATTTATTAATCAGCTAAAAGTTTGATTCCATAATTAAAAATTTAGTTTTAGTTAATCAATTTATGATATTCAGGAACTCAAGTAAATCCAAGACTCCATTGGTGATAAGAAACAATAATTATTTTAATTTAAGCATAAACTAACTATCAGTTACTATATTTAATCTAGGTAAAGATAAAGCTGCTGTGATTTAACGAAGCTTTGAAAATATTAAAATCAATAAAATTCTTTTCAAATCCATAGAAAAAGGATTTTTCTAAATAAAATAAAAGAAATATTTATTATGTAATTTAGCTAATAAAAAACTTATAAGTTGCAGTGAAAGTTTAAAATTAATGCTCTATCAAAATGCAATTTAAAGAATGTAATTCCAACTTCATAATTTTTTTTTAATATTTCACAAATGGAAACTACGAAAATAATAAGGAAAACTCTTAAAAGTTAGGTATATCTGGTAGTTAAAAATTATAATGATATAGAAATTTTGCGATTGGAAATTTTAGAAATCTATTTAGAAATTTAAAGCTAAAATTTTAGAGTTATTTTTAAGAAAGTTTAAATTACATAATTATAAATATTTCAAGAATTATTACATGGATGTTAATTCATAAAAGGAAATCTTTAATTTTTGTATTTATAAAGATATAATGAAAAAATATATGAAATTAGATTTTATACAAATACTGATTTATCATAATTTTCTTGGTCAAGTAAAAATAATTATATTTGTTACAGAAATTCTAATTTTGTAATTAGAGAAATAAAAAAATTTCAAGTTCTAGAAGATAAAGTGCTAAAGTAATAGTTGTTCTATTCAATTTAAAAAAAAATTGATTATTTGTATTACAAAAAGAACAAAAAAGTAAGTAATAATATTTTCAATTTATGAGAAAAATAATTAAAATGCTTTTGTATTTTGGATTAAAATTTAAGAAAGTATCAGTAACTACTTCTTTTATGTTATATATTTTTAGATAATTAAGTTAATAAATTTAAATTGCATGCTAAAAGCCTTTATGGCTATTAATCATGCAATACAAGGTAATTTTAGTGAAAGAATTCTTTTTAATAATTATTGATAGAACTTTATTATTTATAGGAGATGGAGCTATTAGGGTTCTATTATGGAAACAAGTTTCTATTAGATTATAACTTTCTTTTTTGAAATTGATAAAAACACAATTTATATTAATTCAAAGAATACAAAATAAAATTATATAGATTGTTTAATATTTAAATTGTTTTTAAAGAAATCTTAAACAAACCAATATAAGCTTATAAAACTCAAGCAAATTTCCAAATATAATCTTAATCATGTTTAATATTAGATCCTAATAAATACGGTAGAAAATATGAGAATAAAATTGAGAACATGAAAAGATATTGCATGTTTTAAACTATAGAAGTAACTATTGAAAATTGCTTTAATTAAAAAGCAGAAAATTAAGCCTACATAATATTTGAAAAAATGTAATTACTTTAAATTGAGAAATACTAAAACTAACTCTCTTTCTATATCAACTAATCTGTTAATTACTTTTAAAATAGAAAAAGCATTTGTATAATTATTTGTTCTACATTTCAAAAATATTGTGTTAGTTTTTATTTTGAAAATTCTTTTGGATATAAAATCATGATAAAATTAATTAAAATTCTTATAAAATTTTTTTTGGGATAATCTATTATGATAAATTTAATTAAAATTAAATGGAAGATATGTTGGATTGCAATATTTATAACATTAGTAGAAATTCAAATGAAAATTTTTTGATGTTTAGTTTTTATCGTATGATATTGTGAGAAGATAAATTAAACAAATTTTGCCTAATGATTTTATGATAATCAAATAAAATTTTAATTGAACAATTTTTTTCTGTTATGATGAATACCATCTATAGATTATTGTAAAAATTTTGGAAAATAGTATTGTGATTAACATAGAGGAATTCGTATAAATTTGTTTAACTTTATGCATAATGATAACACAATTACAGGATAAAAAAAATGTCAACTTATTTTTTTATTCAACATCATCTTATTCTGATTTCTCCTTCGTTTCTAATACTTCAAACTACTACTCTTTCTATTAAGATGAGAACTGTTCTTCCAATGAAAATTGGAAGGCTTGAACTAAAATGTTTGAATTTTTATTTATACTTTGGAGTGGATGTTACTCTTTCAATTTTACGGAGGATTTTCTAAATTTTTCTTTCTTTATCCTTATTAAATTTTAATCTTGAGAAAATTTGTTAAATTCTATAGTGCTTTTTGGAATCTAAGTCAATTTTTGAGGACACTTTCTCTTTAATTCCAATTTTTGGTCATTTGGGGGCGTCAACAAAAAGAAAAGGAAATATTTTTCTTAGGCTATGTCCTTTTTTTTTTCTCTCCTTAATTTCAATGATTTTTGATCATTTATTCAAATAAATTCATTTTTTAATTATTCTTTAATATTTGAGTAGAGTTCTTTTGTTAAAAATGCAACAACAAAAATATGTGATTCTTATAAAGTTTGAGAATTAAAAAAGATTGTAATGCTGTTTGATAAGGTAGAATTTTTCTACTAAAAGTTCCAGCATTCAATTTATAAGTTTTAAATTTGTTAAATTAAAAAATCATTTATTTTACTAATATAATTTGACAATAGGAAACTGTTACAAAATCTTTTTCGTTTATACTCTATTAAGGTTCGATATTTTAGTATATAATTTAATTAATTGCCCTTTTTAAATTAGTATAACAAATAATTATTCTTTTTAAATTTAGAAAAAATTTATCCAAAGCTTAAGAATATAAAAATAAATTTTTATCATAGATTGAGAGGGGAAGTTGATTTTAACAATGCAAGTTCTTTCACTTTCTTTAAATTATGTTAGCAAATACCGTTTTTTTCTTATTTTTAACTAAAAAACTATTCAGATTATTTAGATAAATGTTACAGATCTTGAGATATTTTATATGTGATGATTAATATATTAAATCTACACTAAATGGATACTTATTATTTAGTCAGTTCATCAATTCGTTAAATATATTCAAAACAAAATATTAAGACTTGATATTTTAGAAAATAAAAAATTGAATATTAATAAAATATATTCCTATCCTGAAATTGTTTCATTATTCTTGATATCTCCTAATTTGAATTTCATTTGATTTCTTTTCCCAAGTAATAAAATACTGTCCATCATCACTCATTGTTCCATAAAAAGTATTAATTCCAAAATGGATATACTATTCAGTTAGGAACTCTCCTTTTATTATTATCTCATCAAATTAATATATTCTTAATTCTTACTTACAAGAATACATTTTGACTTTATATATTGTTAAGGAAACCTTGTATTGGCATCTGATCCTTTTTCCATCTTTTTTATCTAATTTTCTTCGATTTATGAAATAATTTTTTTTAATCCAATTGCTTTACCATCTATATACGTATTCTCTAAACATTCTACACACAAAAGTCTCTAATCTCTTGGTAATTTTGGATCAAGTAGAATTGTGATTACTGATAGTTTATGTTCTTTAGAACAACAAAAATCATTTTCATTTTCTATCATTTTTGGTTTAAGCATTTGATTATATTGAGAATTAATTCGCATTGATATTGTGTTGAAAATATTTAGAAGAAGGTATATAAAGCTCGAAGATATCAATTACATTACGTTACATTAAACCTTGTTAAAGGGATAAAAATATATTTTTAAAAATCAAAAAATTTTCTTTTTACCTTAAATTCTATTTACTCGTAATTCTCAAAGCTACAGGGCAAATCATTAAATAAGTAACTTATTTTTTCAATTTCTTATCTTTTTTTAAACCTAAAAATTTAGTTATACATTTCATCTAAATTTAATTTAAAATGCTCTTCTAATAAGTGCTTTGCATCACATCTACATTAATGTAAATTGCACTTGAACCCACTTTATAATTATTGAATGTTATCTGGAAAATTCTCTAAATTAATAATTCTTTTTATAAAACTCTTCATATCATTTTATTGATAAGTTTTCTCGTCCTTGTTCCCTTCATTTTACCCATATTATCCATTCATTAATTTAAAAAAAGATTGGGCAAATTCTTCAGCAGATGATTAATCATTATAAAGTTCTAGCATTAGTAAGTTAAGTTTTAATTTCTTTTGATATATTTTCCTTTGTTCTAAATTTATTGTTGCGGCGGCATATAAAAATTGAGGCTTAAAAATGTATTCCAAATGTATTCTTTTTGCTTGAAGTCAATTTTTGTATCATCCATTTTAAATGATTTGCTATTTATGAAACCTTCTGAATTTTTTTATTCATATGATCTTTTAACGTACCTAATCTATTTATTATAATTCCTAGATAGATTTGTTTATTAATTTTCAGGTTATAATTGTTACTATTCGTTTCTCAACATTCCAAACAATTTAATGATAAAATTAAAATAAATAATAAAAACTAGTTCATCTGCATATTGATGATCTTCCAATTTAGCATCTGATTCTTATTTAACTTATTCTAACATTTCATTTAAATATATATTAAATAGTCCAGGGGTTAAGGCCAAATTTTAAGGTAAACCACTCAAATAATAATATTTTTATTTATTTATAGGGTGATTGGTATAGAATTCTTTAATTATGATACTTCGTTTGGCAAATTAAAATTATTTTAGTATGATCATAAAAATTAGTCTCCGCAAGCTCATGATTAAAGTCGAATTTAGTAAATATTAAAGTTTCATCTGTTTTAGATTACTTTATTATTTTACCATATTTATTTTCAACGTGATACCCCTATCACTTAATATTATTACTATATTTTTTTTAGATTGAGTCTAAATAAGAAAGCATAGCAATTGATCCAATTTAATGCATACTACAACAGTGGGTGAATATTTAATTGAGTTCTGTAATTAATATTCTTAAATTAGAACATCTATTTGGAATTATATTGCTGAAATTTAATAAAATATATATAGGCATGGAATAATAAAGGTTAATTATATATTTAATCATAGGTGTTGATTTTATTTAAAATAAAAAATAAAAAAAATTAGATTCAAACAGAGGTGTTAGAAATTATTATTATTATTTATTAATTGAACTTTTTAGGAAAGATCAATTTTGAAAAATAATAAATATTGAAATCATCAATCGAAATCAATATTGGTCTTCTTACAAATTCTAGGGTAACTTTAATTTCTATCACCTCTTGTTTAATATGATATTAATTGTCAGAATGAAATTTAATTATTTTTTATATATTATATTTTAATTCATAACAAATTGCGATATAGAATATCTAATGTCAAGAAAATATCTAAAAAGCAAAGAATTTAAATATTGGAAATTATTAAAAGTAGAAAGTAAAAAGTGATATTCTCTTTATTTATTTATTAATTCATTTATTTATATTTGAAAGCATAAAATATTTTTTATAATTCTTGTAAATTATTAAATCAAAATAAAATCAAACTTTATTAATTTCAGAAGTAAGATGTTAATTGTTTATATGATTTATTCTCGATAAAAGCCTGAAAAATTAAAAATTAATAAAATTTACTTTTAATGATTCTATGATTCTAATTAATAATTTAAAAAGGGACATTTTTAAATCAATAACATACAAAAAAAAGAGTTTTGTATAAAAATTCTTCTCCTTATATCACATCATTCATATTCTATTACGGTTCTTTTTGATATTATTTATATTGCTTTTAATGGTGAATATAAATTACAATTATATATTTAATTGGCCTACCTATAAAATAATTACATGAAAATATATGCTTTTTAATTCTATCAAAGGGACAATTAGTTGATATTTATTTTCAATTAATAATTCAATGTATTCATTTGCAAATAATTTCAGGACAGTATTTTTTTATAAAATCTCAAAGATATATGCTGAAAACCTTACCTTAAACATATTTAAAAAAAATGATGACCAATAAATCTAGATATATCATGTTGTAATGTAAAGCATTTTTGGAGTTGTGGAATTTAATTGTCTCATTTAAATTTGAATCCTTTAATTAATGATTTACTTGTTGATTTGAATACTACTCTTATTAATTAATCTCCATTAAATGTGTGATGAGAATATATGAATCATAATAAGTAATATGAACATAATTTTCATCATCTAAAAAAAAATGAGAGCACTTAAGAGAGAGTGATTTTAAATAGCTTAAAAATATTTTTACTTTTTTTCAAAATATCCTCCATATTCTTTTAAACAGGAGTAAATGATATAATATAATTTTAATTTAAATTCAAAAGATACTCTCATTCTATTTACAGCTAAATTTTGTCTGGATGATGAGAAATATCCATATTGTGTTTTTGAGTCTTGCTATTATAAATTAATTCCAACATACATCATGCATGAAAATAATATATCAAGGCTAGCAAAAATATTATATTTCTTCTATGGATTTTCAAATGATGCTTTACCCTAGTAGAATATTTAATGAAAGATATTAAATTTAATAAAAAATAATATCCCTTTTCAATATATAAAATATAAATAATAATATGAGTAATAATCTTTATGCTGAACAATAAAATTTTGGTGATATAAATTTCTTAATTGAGTAAACAGAACATTCAAAAATTTCAATTAAATGATAATCAAAATATTATTTAATTAGATCCTCATATTACCAAGTTAGAAAAAGTTTATGATGTTCAAACAAGATGTATTTTTTTGCCTTTAAAATCAGATGATTCAGATATATTAAATTATGCCATTAACATTTTCAATTAATTCCTAAATTAAAATCTTTCTTTTTATGTATTATCTCTATTAAATCATAAACAAAAATATTTTGCGAAATTGGAAACAGGAGTTAATCCTCTCTTAATTTCTAGAATTACTAATAATATTTTAATACCAATACAGAAACAAATTGATTATTATATAGAATAAGATGGGTATTTTGACTCTCTTTATTAAGATACAATGATTTTGATTAAATAATTAATTTCAATATAAACTAACTGATATTAATATTTTAAAAAGATTATCATAATTCTATTGAACTATATATTCTCCTAATCGACACAATTTGATTAATGAATTGGACAAGTATTTACACATATTTATTTTGTTATAATTAATATTCTGAACAAAAAAGATGTACAAGTTGAGAAGTCAGAAAATATTAAACAATAACGAAAATCTGTGTAAAACGTAATATTTCTAAATTTTCATGATTCAAATTCAGATTCAAATTACCTTTTAATCAAAATAGTTAAATTAGGATTAGTAATTTAACAAATTGCCTCTATCCTTAATAAAGTATAACTACTACCACAATTTTCATTCTTTTGAAATATTTTCTCTAAGTTTTCAGCCTAGAAAACAGATAAATAAGTTTATGGCAAGTATTCCTATAAATCTATAAATTTTAATCCCTACTTCCATATCAATAGTTTGCGGACTAAAACAAAATTTTATCGAAAATTCGTAAATTTAATATTAGCAATAGTACTTACTATTGTAACAATTTGAGCACTGTTCAAATTAAATCAGATTATTTGTATTTCCTTCTATAGAATTGTTAATCTGCAGTAGTTACCATAAAAAACCTTAAAGTATGAATCATCAATTGCACCAGCATCATTATAAAAGTCATCAAATATTAC